TTGTACGTTCTGAAAAAAAAAAAATGAAGATATGGATATAATATTACCTGAGTGGTTATTGGGTGATTTTGTATAGTTAGTACTTTCCTATCAAACATCTATCGTCCTCGTCTCTGGCTCTCCTCCTTCTTTTCTCTGTATGTTTGCCCTCTCTGCAACACGTCACATCCTCGGCACTTGGATGATCTATTTCTGTTTCTAGTGCCGTCAAACTCCTGCTACAACTGAACTAAATCAAACATTCTGTGTGAATGAAACAGACTGTGAGCTTCAGACTCCTCTACTCAGAAAGTTCTGACATCCTTTCGGATTTTTCTTGTCTCAGATTTGTCAAGTATGTGAAGTTGTCGCTCTGTCTTCTGTTGCTCTGTCTTCTGTCGCTCTGTCTTCTGTCGCACTGTCTTCTGTCGCTCTGTCTTCTGTCGCTCTGTCTTCTGTCGCTCTGTCTTCTGTCGCTTTGTCTTCTGTCGCTCTGTCTTCTGTACCTCTGTCTTCTGTACCTCTGTCTTCTGTCGCTTTGTCTTCTGTACCTCTGTCTTCTGTACCTCTGTCTTCTGTCGCTCTGTCTTCTGTCGCTCTGTCTTCTGTCGCTCTGTCTTCTGTCGCTCTGTCTTCTGTACCTCTGTGCCAGTTTTGTAGTCGGGGAAATAAAGTTTTGAAAGTTGGATGAAAGAGAGGCGACGATTGTTTACCTCTCTCTGTCTGCTTCTCTTTCTTTCTCTCTCTCTCCCCCCCCCCCTCTCTCTCTTGCTGTCTGTTTCTGTCTCTCTCTTTCCATTCATTTCCCCATGTCCCCATGTATGTATTTTGAGGAAAAGTGGGGAAGTGATACTGGATCCATGTGCCTATTGCTGACAAAAGAAGGCAAGGGTAGATCTATTCTCTCTATATATCTATCTATCCTCTCTCTATATATATCTGTCCTGGGTATGACAACTTTTTGATGAGGGTTGAGGAAAAGGTCAAAGGCTGGAGTAATGATGACCTCATTCCCCAATAGGAAAGTAAATCAGTTAAAACTGTTTGTTTGGAAAGATGCCGTGAGAACTCTGAGCCGTGAGTCCACCGGTTCTCCGTCGGTTGAGAGATCTGCTTCTAGTAAGTATCGACAAAAAACCCCACCAAAAAACCCCTACTAAACAAAAAACCAGAATGGAGCATCTCCCAGCTCTCTACAGGTTCAAGAATACTTTAAAAAGTAGGCACTTTATGTAAGGATAACTGGAACACAAGACTTCTTTACTATTGTCTAGCCTGAGAGCTATATTCATCAAAGTATTGGTTTTCACCGTTTTGACCGATCCGTGACGTAAGAAGTAAGGAAAAAGATTCTATCACGTCACACTTCTATTGTTTTATTCGTGAATCGTGATGCACACATTCAAAGTCTGTGACCAATGGCTGGGCTGCAAATTTCACCTCAAAGAAATGGAAATGAAAAATAAGAAAAGGGTATTTTGCCCCTGACAGCGATATAAATTTAGTACTGAATAAAATTTGGGATGTGCACAGCTGATTGAGGCAGCCTAGCCCCTGAAATTGACAGAAGATGATAAAAGTATCAAGTCAAACTTTCCATAATATATATATATTATATTCATTTGGTAATCTATTTGTATTTGCTCACCATGAGAAGACTGAGCGTGCGAAGACATGTCGTTTACAGGCTGAGAAATGAGAGCTGTGGGAGTGGCTGGTTGCTCCAAGGTGTTGGGTTAGACACTCTGCTCTCTATGTGGTTTCAGTTCCATCCCTGAGTTATGTTTACATGTACATCGTTGAGTTATCTCTCTGTTACGTTTACATCTCTCAGTTACCTTGAGTTACATCTCTCAGTTACCTTGAGTTACATCTCTCAGTTACCTTGAGTTACATCTCTCAGTTACCTTGAGTTGCATCTCTCAGTTACCTTGAGTTACATCTCTCAGTTACCTTGAGTTACATCTCTCAGTTACCTTGAGTTACATCTCTCAGTTACCTTGAGTTACATCTCTCAGTTACCTTGAGTTACATCTCTCAGTTACCTTGAGTTACATCTCTCTCTCCTTTCTGAAGGTTTCTTTGACCTTTTTTTTATGTTTCTTTTTTTTTGTTTGTTTCCAGTTTCAGTTCTCGTAATGGAATATCTGGGTTGAATGTTTTGAGAAAAAGTAACCAATTATTTTGTTCAAGTGTTTGGATTTAGGTGGATAACATTTTATTGTTTTGTTTTGTCTGGGTCACTGGCCTTTTTTTTATCAGAGAAAAGTTTTGTTTTTAATTTCACATCCTTCTTGGTCAATGTTCACTGGTTTGTTTTTGTTGTTTGAGAATTGTTTCATTGCTCTATACTGTTGTAAAACGTACGTCGTCCCAATAATCTAGACAGTGCACATTTTATACCGTCCCGATAATCTAGACAGTGCACATTTTATACCGTCCCGATAATCTAGACAGTGCACATTTTATACCGTCTCTATAATCTAGACAGTGCATATTTTATACCGTCCCAATAATCTAGACAGTGCACATTTTATACCGTCCCTATAATCTAGACAATGCATATTTTATACCGTCCCGATAATCTAGACAGTGCACATTTTATACCGTCCCTATAATCTAGACAATGAATATTTTATACCTTCCCGATAATCTAGACAGTGCACATTTTATACCGTCCCTATATTCTAGACAGTACACATTTTATACCGTCCCGATAATCTAGACAGTGCACATTTTCTTTTTGTTATGAGCTGAAGAGAAATTTTTATTGTTTTCCTTTTCATAAATGAAGAAAGATCAGCATCTGTGGTTTGACCGTTAGTCATTTCGCTGTCACATGAAGGCGGCCGGAGGTTGATTCCTGAGTGGGGGACGGGTCAAAGCCGCCTCTTCAATAATCTGAATTGTGTCAGTGGGGTAGAAATTAAGACATGCTTTTCTTTTAAAGTGAAGAAGGGGGTTTGCTTATAAGGGATTTTTTCCCAGTAGGCTAAGCCATGTGGGAAGTTTTGTATAAAGACTTATTGAGTTGCTCAAGGAAATGTCGTATTTTGAACGAACGAACGACTGATGGTGATCATCAGCTGGGCTGACATCACATTAGACGATATTTTCTTGTGGGAAGTTGAACAAATTTCCCTTTTTTGTCATCGTAGTGTGATGTCACAGTTTATTGCTATCACAGTTTCACTCTCACATCTAATATTATGGTGGTGCGCTTAAGTTCAAATTTCACGAATGTTCTTTTCTTTAAAAACTAAGTGGTAATGTGTTTGAGTTTAGTAGACTGGATTCACGGAACTCATGCTTGTAGGTCACTATAATGTTGGTAATGTTATCGTCCACGTTCCAAAGTTGTTGCAGCTTTTTACTATTGGTGTTCAAACAGGTTTAATGAAAGTTTTTGTCAGTAATATGATAAATAAATTAATTATCATCATGTAACTGAAATGGAAAAAACTACTCTATCAGTAAGCTAAAATAGTATGTAGATTTAGATGTTATGAACTTTCAGAAAATATCGCAAACTTTAAAATTTGGTGCTTTAATGTCCAGCACAAGTTGAGCTGCCTGTTTACTGGTGGAGAGATCCAAACATAAACGTAAACTTGAACAATTTTTTGTAAGGAAAATTCTGCT